ATTTGTGTTCAGAGTGAAGATGTTTTTATGTTTATTGTCTTTGATCAAGATGGCATTGAAACCAGAAGTATTTCATTTCTACAATGTCAAAGTTGGGTACTTTTCTTTTCCTGCTGCTCTCTTTTTGGGTGTGAGAAGTTGTCACTGTTTGACTCAGGTCTGACAGCAAAGCTCTCGATCCCCTCCCTCTCCCACCCAGGGAGGGAAGGAGAGAAAAAGAGAGAGACTTGGCTGGCTTGAAAACTCAACTACACATCTTTAATTAAACACTAAAGAGAAAAGAAAATATATACAATTATGTTGAGATATGTGTAAAAGCCTCTGACCTGTCCAAACCAGGACAGAAGTTTGTTAAACAGAAAAGCCAAGCAAAATGGATTGAGATTGGTTTTTAATCTGCATTTTTAGTCTACAAATGTAAAACCTGTGACTCCTGATGGAGTTGCAGGAAAGCTCAGAGAGAAACTGAAGCTGTGGGATGAAATATGACTGTGTGTCTCAGGGCTTGTGCTTAAGCCAATAAAATGCTGCTGAGGATATTGATGGTTTGAGAGTTTATGGGTATCTATGAATCAGCCAAGTACCCAGGTCAGGGCATGACTGGATGGATCGTCAGTTACTAATTTTTTTAAGCTGAGTAATTTTTAATAGAATGGTTCATAAATAATTTTTAACTTCTACAAGAAAAAAAGCAATAAATAGAGGAGATTATTTCTAAATAAAGACCATAATTAGATGGCAGAGCAATGACCATACATGGGTGGGATTCCCAAATGCATCAGAGTAACAGAGAATACTTTGGGAAGTTGTATCCATAGAAGGCAGTGAGTGGATCCCTGTGTGATGGGTTAGTCCCCTTTGTGCAGGATGGGATGTGCAGATGGAACTCTGAGTTAAAACTTTGCATTACAAGCAAGGCTGGCTTGACTTGCTGGTGGAGCAGGATTTGTGTGCTTCCCTGTGATCCAGGGTCTGAGCAGAACGTGGAGCATGTGGTGCTGCTTCTGCACTAGGGGCTGGGAGGGTCCAAACAGGGGCAGAGTAGGAGTAGAAAACACTGATAAAATGCATCTGGGTGAGCATTTGTTTTGTGACAAATTCTTTGAAAATACTGCAGTATCTGAACTGTGTATATATACCATGTTATACGTTTTTTAGTTTGTATTTGGTTTGGGGGGGTTTGTTTTCATTTGTTGGTGGTGGTGGTTTGGTTTTGTTTCTTTCTTCATAGAATAGAATCATAGAATAGTTTGGGGTGGAAGAGACCTTAGAGATCATCTAGATCTTCATGGGCAGGGACACCTCCCACCAGCCCAGGTTGCTCCAAGCCCCATCCAACCTGCCCTTCAACACGGCCAGGGATGGGGCAGCCACAGCTTCCCTGGGCAACCTGGGCCAGGCTCTCACCACCCTCACAGCAAAGAGTTTCCTCCTAATGTCTCACCTAAATCTCCCCTCTTCCAGTTTCAATCCATCCCCCTCATCCCATCCCTCCCTGCCCTTGTCCCAAGTCCCTCCCCAGCTTTCCTGGAGCCCCTTCAGGCACTGGAAGGTGCTCTCAGGTCTCCCTGGAGCCTTCTCTTCTCCAGGCTGAACACCCCAACTCTCCCAGCCTGGCTCCAGAGCAGAGCTGCTCCAGCCCTGGGATCATCCTCATGGCCTCCTCTAGACTCCCTTCAGAAGCTCTGTGTCCTTTCTTATGTTGAGGGTTCCAGAACTGGGCACCATCATTTCTAGCCTGATACCTGGTACAGTGTCCCATGAGCCCCATGGTCCCCCTTTGCCACTGCTCCCCATGGCAAAAATGGGATCATGTGCTGGGGCAGCAGCTGCTCTGAAGGTCTCTGTGTTGGGCAGTAGTGAGTTCTTGTCCATCAGAGCCATGAGATGCTCCATCTCTAAGGATGGATTTGATGATCTAAGTCTCTTCAAAGTCATTTGAGGTCACCCAAAAGCATGGGCTGGAGCTGACAGTGGGTGAAACTGCTGAGAACCTCTCTGAAGAGGTTTACAGCCTCAGACATCTGGCTTTCCTGTGCCAAATTTTTTGATGACTGCATTAGCATCACGTTCTGGAGTCATCTTTCTTCACAGCATGATCAATACATGACAATGCAATATTGATGAATGTGTTGCTGGGTGTTTGTTGAGTTAAAGCAAAGGTAAATAATGAACTGAAGTTAAATCAGACCAGTGAGTTTCCTGGAGGATATTTTTAAAGAGAGAATCTAGTTGACAATATTCCTTTTTCTCCTTGAGGATCTTCACATAACCTACAAAATGAGCTGATTTGTAGAAATTGCTGATTTTTACAGTGGGAGGTGTCCCTGCCTATGCAAGGTGGTTGGATCTAGATGATCTTTCAGGTCCCTTCCAACCCAAACCATTCTATCACTCTATATGCATCTTTTTAAAAGCTGAAAAGTCTACTTTTGCAGGCAGCCAAACAGCATCCCTTAGGATTCCTTATAATCAAGAGAAGATGGAGACATCAACATCAAGATGCAGTGGAGAGGAAAGCTTTTGCATTCATAACAATTATAAAGCACTGACAGTGTCTAAAGAAACTTTACTATATATTTTTTTTGGTGTAAGTGCTGTAACTTTAGCAGTTAGATGATGCTGATAATACTCATAACATGTTGTTAAAGTTATATGTTCACTGGGCAGGGCAGGCTGCCTTGTACTGGGAGCTTTGTGTGGGAGAGGAAGGGGATTTGGAAGTTGTGCTGTTGGCTTTTGTTACCAGTTAAAAATCAGACAGAGCTGTTCTTACAATTCTGATTGCAGAAAGGGAGATGAAACATGCAAGAAATTCAGTGAGCATCTTAAATACTGTTCTAAAATACTTCTCAAACATTTGAAATACATGTGCCAGGGCAGGTTTAGATTGGATATTAGGAACAATTTCTTCCCCAAAGGGCTGTCAGGCCCTGGAATGGGGCAGGGGGGGAGTCCCCATCCCTGGAGGGGTTTCAAAGCCTGTAGATGTGGTGCTGAGGGACATGGGGCAGGGGTGGCCTTGGCAGGGCTGGGGGAAGGGTTGGGCTTGGTGATCTGAAAGGTCTTTTCCCACCAAAACAGTTCCATGATTCTACTCTCTGATGATCTTGTGTTCTGCAGCATGCAGAAGCTGAGCTTGTGTTCCAAAATTATCCTGCAGCACATTTATATGGATGTTTTAAAAAGCCCTGGAGCCAAGTGTTTGGAATAGAAGTGGAGACAGATTGGGGCTGGTAAATATAGCCATGCTGAGAGTGTCTCTCTCACGTGCAGACCCAGTGCTGGAGATGTGCTGTGTGGCATATTTGCTTCATCCCAGAGCAGCAGAACCGTGTGACAGTTACACAGGTCACCCAGCAAGAGGGCAAAGCCACTTGGGTTTATGAATTTAACAGGATAGAAAGAGATGAAATATTTTTGGGGTGTATTGTTTGTTGTAATTTCAGCCTCTGATTCCTGCTCTCATTTCAGAGGGGGGAGAATTTACATGGGCTACAGCTGGTCGTTATTTTTTCATTTTTGAGCCTTTTGTTGATCCTTCCTGCCCAGGAGATGTTCTCAATGAGAGGAAGGCTGAGCCTTGCAGGTTACTGGGATCCAGACCCCAGTTCTGGGTCAGGACTCGTAATAGGGGAGCTCAAGTGTCTCTCAACCTTGGTGGAATCATCTCCCTCCAGCCAAGGCAACCCTTAGGGCCAATTTGGTGTCCACCAAGGGCCACCCAACTCAGCCATGGGACCTTCCTTCATCTAGGAGAGGGCTGGAAGCACAGTGTGTCCCTCTCAGGCTTGGCTGATCGTGGAGACAGACACTTGTTAATGGTGGCCTAGCAGATCCCAACAGATTGGTGTCTAAATGCTGTTCTTTAAATCATGGCTTCACTGACTACTTCTGGGCAATCTTTGGGGACCACAGCCTTGGAACTATTAGCCAGGTTTTTATTATCCTGTGTCAGTATCATTTTTATCAATGACTGCAGAAGTTTTGAGTTTCATCTGGCATAGAACTAGTGGATAGGGTGGAGAAGCTACAGCTTTGGGAAGCTTCAGAAGAGACTCAAGTTTCCCATTTGTGGCCTCTATAGGCAAGAAAAACCTACCTTTTAAAAAAGCAGCTTTGGTCTGGAACTGGATGTTGCTTGTCCTGGTCATTGAATTGGTGTGAGCTGAAAGAGGAGGAGGTACCTGGGGAGTCTCTGGAGGTCTGGTGCATTTTATGAGGTAGCTTAGTCCACTGAGCCATCCAGGCAAGGGCTGGGGTCAACAAGGATGGGTTTTAGTCATGTGTGTGTCCATCTCTGTGCTGGTTGCAGTGGCCTCTTCCTGGCATTTTATGGCTTTGGAATTTAGAAGCTTATTTTTAAAAGTTTTCACTTTGGGAAAATAATTACCAGAGTAAAGAAATCTGTAATAACCAATAAATTACATTCAAAAAAACCAAACCCTCTACCTGAGGAAACAGATGTTACTGGTTTGTTGCAGTTTGAAGCAACTAATCATTGGACTCCTTCAAATTGGGTTGTGTTGCTGCTGAAAGAGAATCCAGCAGTTCTGAAGGTGCTTTCCCAATGTGCCCTTACCCTTCACAGATTTGACTTGAATGAAGCCTACCCATGTTCAGCACAGCTGCCTTTTCTGGTGAGCTCTGCTCATTGCCATTTCTGGGGACAGTTCCTGCAGCTGTTCCAGTTGTGTGTCACTGATGGTGCCTTGACTTGTTCTCCACACCTCTGCTCGTGGCATCTGGTTTTGATGGGCTGTTTCTATCAAAAGTAATAATTCCTAAGAGAGGGTAATGAATGCAAGATTGCTGTTCAGGAGCTCTTGGATGAAGTGTTTAATTGTAAGTGTGAGCCATTCAGTTTTCTGGAGAAGTTCCCAGAGTCCTCCAACTGAGAACCCTGTCTGCCGCGCACGTGGGTCTCGCTTGGTGAAGAGATCTGTGCTCTGCTCACTTGGACCTGCTTAAAGTAACAATCTTTTTTGGTGCTTGCTCAGATCAGGTGGACCAAAACAGCAGGAAGTGCCTCTGACAGATTTCAAGACTCGAGTGTCTTCAATGAAACCCTGAGGATATCCAACATCCAGAGACACCAAGGAGGACGCTACTACTGCAAGGCTGAGAACGGCTTGGGGTCACCAGCCATAAAGTCCATCAGAGTGGACGTGTACTGTAAGTAACCCCCTTGGAAGTTCTTACTGAGCTATTTATGAATCTCTTATAGTATCTGGAGTTGCTAAGAAGTGAGCAGCTCTTTGTGAAGACAGTGCTTTGGGGCAAATTCTGCCACTTTCGAGGGTATTTATGGTCAGAAGACTCGTGGCTGCTCCCAGTGAAGGCAGGTGGGGCTGCTCATGTATGGAAATGCCTTTTTAAAAATTGGCAATGCTTTGGTATGAAGGAGGAAGCTCAGGTGCAGCTCAGCCTGTTTACATATCAGGGGAAGACTTGTCTGCAGCTTGCATAGGGTGAGGATCTGGTAACCAGCACAGCCCTTCAGCTCTTCTGCTTGGGGCTGCACTTGCCCTCAAAACTGATATGGGTGCAAGTATAGATATTTTTTGATACTTTAATTGCTGCTGAATGTACTTATTTATTTAATGGCTATCTCTTCAAGTTCCTGTGATATGCAGTTTTAAAAGCTGCACTTGAAATGCTGGGTGGTGAAAACTGTGAAGTCTTAGGATTGCAGTGCTATTGGTTAGCAGAGCTGACAGAAGGAGAGGAAGCAGTTGAAAATGTCCTCATGCAATAAATGCAGAAAATGGAACTAAAAATAAAAAATAAACCCCAGCCTGGCTTGCACAGACTGCAGTGTCAGTGAGTGGGTTAGTCATGGCTCTCACTTGTGATCAGGTAGTTAATTGCTGTGGGATTAATGGTAAACTTTGCATCTGACTGTGAATTACATGACTCGGCAGTTGGGAAATGAGAAGACATCAATGCATCCAACAACTGTGGGTTTGTGTACACTTAAAGTGAAGAAAAAAACATTCAAAATCTGCCTGAAATGCTCCAAAGATAGAAAATCTTTACAATATAGATTTGGACACTCTATTCTAATGTAGGTAGTGTTGTGTAAATAAATATGTTTACATGCCATGGATGTAATTAAACAAATGGAGCTCGAAGTTAGTCCTTTTATTTCCTGTGTCCTTCAAAAGGAGACCTGACTGTCTTAGGGCTATACAAGCATTGTGCTTGTGTTTCCCAAAAAGTGCCCCCTCTCTTTCAGGTGAATCTCCAGATGTCTGTTGCTTTAGAGACCCAAGTGGTGACAGTTTTTGTGAGTCAGTTGTGGAGCTGGTGGAGGGGAACAACTGCCTTTCAGGGAATTTCCTTGCCTAGTGTGTGCACTTAGCTTCATGATGTGCTTAACGAGGCCTAACCTCCCGATGCTGAATTTGTAAATCCTTTATGAACAATAACTGAATTAGGAATTGATTGCTCATTAACGTGTTGGAGTCCAATAAACAAACAGGCAGCCTTAATGACTGCAGGGAAGCAACGATGTGATGAGCATCCCGTGTTCGGGATGGGGCTGGCCCGAGGGTCAAGCAGGGCACCTGGTCCTGGTGCAGGTCAGGGTCCCAGCACTCTGGTCGTGCTGGGGTTCAGGATGTTTCAGTGAACCCCAGAGTCCTCCACACACACGCTGCTGCTGGAAGTGCTCTGTAGGTCAGCCCTGTGTAGGGTGTTCAGTGACAGTCCCAAGAGCAAACGTTTACGTCGCTTCTTCTGGATGTCACTAAAGCACTTGTCTCTTCCCCCAGCATCACCCATTGGTTAGGTTTTCCTTAATCCTTCATTTTAGGCACAGCTAGGAAACTGGTGGTGGCAGGAAAAGCAGTCTCAAGACTGGGGTGCTGCATTGGCTGAACAGGAAAGGTTGAAAAATATTGCTTTGAAATTGGTTTGAAGTGTTGATTTTTCTTGTATTTCCTTGAGACCTCCTTCAGGAATGGGTCCTTTTCCTTGTATCATGACCCTTTTAGCTATTAATATGCATTCTCAGATTTGCTGTCTTCTGGGATTTATTATGGGTTTAATTTTGGGGTTTTTTTTGCATCATCTGCTGCTTCTTAATATACCTAAAATACAGATGATGTCTTTCTGGAACATGACAAACTTCAGGTTCCAGCTGTGATGAAATCCTAGGTGGTGTCCTGTTGTATTCAGGCTGATATTTCCTTGGGTATTTTCATCTGTTAATGATCAAATATTTGCAGGCAGACAGCACTGCTGCAGTAAGACTAAGGTGCCAGTGAAGATTTGATCTAACTGTGAAAAAGACAGGAAAAAAAAAAACCCTGCACTCCACAGAGATGCTCATAAGAAATAAAAATATTGGGAATTAAAATGGTCCTTTTGAAATAGCTTTTGTATCTTTTTTTTAGTTGAAGTTTTCTGTTTGTTGTGTATTTACTTCATAGATCATCTGCTGTTTGTGCCATGTTAAGAACTCTGGGCAGAACTGAGCAGGAACACTGGGGGCACCTGAGTTTTCTTGAACAATTGTCCATGAGATCCTTTTGCTCAAAATAAACCATAGGGATCACAAATACTCAGCCAGCATTTTTTTATCAAAATGTGTGTGTTTGTTTTTTTGTAGTGAGCAATGTATTTAGTAAAATGAAGTCAAGACTGTCATCTTACAGACTTAGGTAACTGTCCTGAAAACCTGTGCAAAGCAGATGGTGCTCCCTTTTGAAAGCAAAACTTTATTGTTAGAGGAAGGAAGAAATTGTTTCAATTTTTATTTATTTATTTTTTTTATGAAACCCTCAAATGCATTTAAGGAAACAAGTGAAATGTTTACCTTCCTGAAAAGCTGTATGGGTGAAAAATCAATTTGGAAGCATCTTGGCTTATAAAGCTAAAGAGAGAAAACTATTACAGTTGTGTTCTGTGTTAGTTTTGGATCAAGAACACCTGTGAAGAGCTAATTCAAATCTTCAGGCTCTAATTTAGAATTTGAAAAGGCAATATGTCTGTGTAGCTTGACAATGAAATACTGAAAAAAATCTACAGAAAGTGTTTGTTTCCTCATTTTTCTCCATTCCTGACTTGCTGGCTGGTTGGGAAGTTTTAATACCACCATTTGGATGGGAAATCTCAGTCTCCAGTAGTTTCCTGTTGTTCATTTTGTAGTTAGCTCAGGTATTCAGCAACCCTTGGACCCACATTTGTTGCTGCTGCAGTAATTAATTATGCACAGATAGAAGTGGTGACCAAGCCTGACTATTGGTCTGTGTGAGAGGAGAGGAGCAGG